TCCTCCAATTTCCTCTTCTTACTCTGTCCCCAGATCTCTTACCAGCCAGAATTTATGGGACGTTGTCTGATCATGGAACTCCGCTGCAACTCAAGCCTGACAGCGTTCATGGGCCGGAGTATTTCAACATTTTCAAAAGCAAATGAGAAAACCTTACCACTGCAATCCATAGCATTCGAGAGGACATGCGTCCCTTCGGGACTCAGCGATAATCCAGTGACTGTATCAGTGTGTCCATGCATAACATAAGCCAGATCGTTTCGCCGTAAATCCCATACCTCAAATGAATGAAAATACAAATTGTGTCTTGAAAGGTAAATACATCAGCTGTTAGGCTGACCTTGATGAACAGAACCCCATGATGTAGTGGTTAAAACGCCGTGTTCGTACGTGAAGGGGAGTGGTTCAATTCCATCCAGTGCAAAGCCACATATTCGAAATGGGGCTCCGTTCATGAAAATGCTGCTTTTTTTAGTTTTACTGTTTCGGTGAATTTAACGTACCGTTTACATAAATAAGATTTAGGACAATTTTACTGGAGAACTAAAATTTCACTGAATAGAAATGTTTGCCACTTAATGGACCGGAACATTCCAATTCTTTAATTAACTTCCTTTCGGTTACAATCTTTTTCATAACTCCGTAAAATATTCAAATTAAATCAACCATGACTAAACACTTCCAAATTAATTCAGATTAATTACTAATAAACAAACCAACAATCATAAACAACTATTACAACGACTGTACACCAACTACCAGCAGGAAGAAAGCGTCAGGGAACGAAAGGCCTGACACAGTTGCTTCCATTCTAGCAATATCGCTATATTTAACGTCCATATCGATTATCGGGAGGTCTTGGCAATTCCCACAAAACTCTAACCTTAAGATCGTTGTCGATGCCTCCTCCGATCACCTGATCTGTAGTATCGTTGAATGTTACGGCCGTAATCTGATAAGCATTCTGCAACGTGGCAACCGGATCTCGTTTTCGCAAATCGTGAACCTTAACGTGTACAAATATGCAAGAATTTCGCCAAATCACGTGGTTTTTTTTGCAAAATTTTTCTTATTTGATATAAATGAAACGTCGTTATCAAACTTAAAAGTGTGTTGCTCTTTAAGTAAGTAAGCACAGTAAGAAGTAAATAGAAATGAACAAAAGTAAAGTTTTCTTTAAGAAAAAAACGAATTCTCCTTTCTACCCCAATCCTTCAAAAAAAAAAAAGAATAACGAGGTTATACCCCAATATTTTATAGACTGTAATGAAATCCGAAAGCTTTTTTAAGTCACCACGCAAAAAAGACTCCTCTCCCTCTCCCTTCCCCCAATATTCTTATTCAGATAATGATTCTGAAATGTTCACCTCCTCCTACTGCGTTTAAGAGTTATAAAACCTACAAGAACAGTGCAATCGTCTGATCCGCTAGCAACCAGCTGGGGTCCACGACGTGATGGATGACAGCTGTTCACGATATCTTTGTGATTTTTAAATTTCCTCACACATGCACCTGTATCCATATCCCAGACGCGCACTGTTTTATCGGATGATGCTGTGATCAAATAGCTACAAAAGTAAGAATTAAAATACATAAGCATATTTGTACTGAGGCATAAACCACAGAATCAAACCCGCCATTAGCTTCTCCTAGAAATATTTGAAAGATGAAACCGTCGATAACCGTGCCAGCACGTAATTGCTGTTGGTGATTGCTATCCCGTAGGATAACCCGGAGTGCCTCCGCTTCTCACAAAGGGTGAATGAGGGAGGAGGGGCTTTAAATTCCTCCTCCCCTTTTCCCCGCCGACCCTTCCCCGTCACCTCCGATACAAGCACATACGACCATCTCGTTCATTTACACTTTCACGCTGATATTTTGCCCTTCCCCGCTTCCTCCCG